CCGCAGCCCCCCGCGCCCAGCCCCGCGCTGAGAACGAGAAGGATGCGGCCACCGAGAAGGGCAAGCCTCGGAGGGGGTGAGTGGGGAGCAGGGGGTGCCCCCTGGTGGGATATGGGAAGCCCAGGGGCGTTGCCCCATGATGGGGACATGAGGATGGTCCATGGTGAGGTCTTGGGGGGCATTGTGCATGGTGGGGACATGGGGATGGTCCATAGTGGTGTCCTGCAGAGCATTGCCCCCATTGCCTCATGATGGGGACATGGGGATGGTCCATGGTGAGGTCTTGGGGGGCATTGTGCATGGTGGGGACATGGGGATGGTCCATAGTGGTGTCCTGCAGAGCATTGCCCCCATTGCCTCATGATGGGGACATGGGGATGGTCCATGGTGAGGTCTTGGGGGACATTGCCCATGGTGGAGACATGGGGATGGTCCGTGTTGAGGTCCTGGTGGGCATTGCCTATGGTGGGGACATGGGGAAGGTCCATGGTGAGGTCCTGGGAGGCATTGCCCATGGTGGGGACATGGGGATGGTATATGGTGAGGTCCTGGGGGGCATCGCCTATGGTGGGGACATGGGGATGGTCCATGGTGAGGTCCTGGGAGGCTTTGCCCCATGGTGGGGACGTGCAAGTGCCCTGTGGTGGCGACATAGGGATGGTCCATGGTGGGCTCTTAGGGGACATTGCCCCATAATGGGGATGCAAGGGGCTTGGTTAGGGGCTGAGCAGGGCTGTGGGGTGTGCCGCTATGGGGTGCATGGGGCCGGCCCCCCCTCAGTCCCGGTGCCCCCCAGGTTCCTGTTCAAGGCGAGGAAGACAGCCTTTGCGCCGCCCCCCGCGGTGCCCACTGTTCCCCGCCTCGAGGAGGACGTGGTCCCTGATGAGCGTGACGACCCCGAGGTCATCATGAACACCACCACGGTAGGTGGGGGTCAGCCCCTGTCCCAGCACATCCATCCCGTCCATCCCCCCCCCATCCTGGTACCCTGATCCCTGTCCCAGCATCCCAGTGTCCCATCCTGGCTTCCCAACCCCAGCCCGGCACCCTGACTCCCACCCCGGCACCTCGTGGTACCCGTCTTAGCACCCTGCTCCCATCCTGGTGTCCCTCTACTCTGCTGTCCCAGTCCTGGCATCCTACATCCCCATGTGGTCTCCGTTCTCTGGTCCTTGTCCCCGTGCCCCATGTTCTCCATCCCCCATCCCCATACCCCACGGTCCATATCCCTTGCTGCATCCCCATCCCCACGTCTCTGTCTCCATCCCCACGTCTCTGTCTCCATCCTGTATCCCCATGCCCCACGGTCCCCATCCCGTATCTCTGAGCCCCAAGGTCCCTATCCCTAAGTCTCTGTCCCCATGTTGTCCCCCATCCTGCATCCCCATGCCCCGTGGTCCCCATTGGTGGCCCTGGCCCCACACTCACCTCTCTGCCCCCAGTACTACTACTCGGTGCGGATCTTCGCCGGGCAGGAGCCCACCTGCGTGTGGGTCGGCTGGGTGACCCCCGACTACCACCAGCACGACACCACCTTCGACCTCTCCCGCGTCCGCACCGTCACTGTCACTATGGGCGATGACAAGGGCAACGTGCACGACAGGTACCGCCGCGGGGCACAGGGATGCCATGGGGCTGGGGGGACCAGGGGGTCCTGGGGAGAATGGCAGAGCAATGGAGAAGGGGTCCAGGACCAGGGTCCCTGGTGGGGGCAATGGAGAAGGATCTGGGACTGGGGTCCCTGGTGGGGGTGACAGAGAAGGCTCCAGGACCAGGATCCCTGGGGAGGTGATGGGGAAGGTGTCCCCCCCATCACCCCCTTTTTGCCCCTACAGCATCAAACGGAGCAACTGCTACATGGTCTGGGGAGGGGAGTTTGCCAGCAACACGCAGCAGGCGCGGGTCAGCCACACTGACCTGGTCATCGGCTGCCTCGTGGACCTGGCCACCGGGCTCATGACCTTCACGGCCAACGGCAAGGAGATCAACACCTTCTTCCAGGTGAGCCGGCCCCCCAACAAGAGCTTGGGGGGGTCCTGTCCCCAGTCCCATCCCCGGTCCCTGTCCCTGGTCTCAGCAGCTCTGTCCTTGTCAGGTGGAGCCCAACACCAAGCTCTTCCCGGCCGTCTTCGCCCTCCCCACCAGCCAGAACGTCATCCAGTTCGAGTTGGGCAAGCTCAAGGTGAACGTGACCACCTGGACGCCTGGGTTCCCCAGGAGGTCGCGGGGTCTGTAGGATGGAGCAAGGGGAGTCTGGTCCCCTGGGTGATGGGGAGGTCTTGGGTGAGGGGGGAGCAAGTGGCCTGGACGCTGGGTCCCATGCCTCACACCCCTCCGTGTCCCTGCAGAACATCATGCCCATCTCAGCCGCCATGTTCTACAGCGAGCGCAAGAACCCGGAGCCGCAGTGTCCGCCGCGGCTCGTCATCCAGCTCCTGACGCCGGTCACCTGGAGCCGGATGCCCAACGAGTTCCTGGCCGTGGACATGGCCCGCGTCAGTGAGCGCCACGGCTGGATGGTGGAGTGCGCCGACCCCCTCGTCATGATGGCCCTGCACATCCCTGAGGAGAACAGGTCAGGACCCCCCGCCCCCTTCCTGTGCCCAGAGGACCCAGATGTCCTATCCCCACCCTACTGGACCAGGTGTCCAGTCCCCAGGGGACCCAGGTGTCCTGCCTCCACCCTAGGGGACCCAGATGTCCAGTCCTCACCCTGTGAGACCACATGTCCTGTGCCCAACCCAGGGGACTTGGTGTTCCTAGGGGACCCAGATGTCCTATCCCCATACTAGGAGTCCAGCTGTCCTGTCCCCACCCCAGGGGACCCAGATGTCCTGTCCCCAGGGGACATAGACACCCTGCCCCTGGGGGACCCAAGTGTCCTGTCCCCACCCCATGGGACCCAGATGTCCTGTCCCTGGGGGACCGAGATGTCCTGTCCCTGGAGGACCCAAGTGTCCTGTCCCCACCCCAGGGGACCCAGATGCCCTGTCCCTGGAGGACCCAAGTGTCCTGTCTCTGGAGGACCCGAGTGTCCTGTCCCCACCCCAGGGACCCAGGTGTCCTATCTCCAGGAGACTCAAGTGTCCTGTCCCTGGAGGACCCAACCGTCCTTCCCTCACCCTAGAGGACCAGATACCCTCTCCCACCCCAGATGCCCTTTACCCCCAGGGGGCCCAGGCATCCTGCCCTGACTCCCCACCACCACCACCACCCTCCTGCCGCCCGCCCGTTAGGTGCATCG